TTTTCGCTGCTTTTGCAAGGAACATAGAAGATAATCAGTATTCGACATTTTGCACTACTAACTGCACTATTTAAATTAGAAACATTTAAAAAAATTATCTTGTTTATTTACTTGCTAATTATAATGCTGCTTTTTACTTTCAACATGAATTCGTTTGCAGACAGAAGTTAGTTTAGTTGCTCAACCCATTACTTTCACTCCTAATAACATAGGAAACCATTTTTTTTAACTTTGAGAAAATTATATCTCAATTGTAATAATCGAAATATTTTTTTCTGATTACTTTATTATTTATTATAAAAGCTAAGCAAAATTTTAAGTTTAAATTGTAACTTTGCATAGATCGAACTTTACAAAAGAGGTCCCGTTGGTGTCACTAATTGACGAAAGACGTGCAATTTTTTTTTCTACAGACGTCCGTTTTCTTTACTTTTTTAAGTGAAAGTAATTTTTATTTATTTTAAATTAGTTTTACTTTTTTGCTACTTTTCAATAACCAGCTTCGAACTCCTTTGACATGTTTTGAGACTTTCTAATTTTTTTTACAGCTTTAAGGTTTTTCAATGTTGTTTAAAAGCTTTCTTAAAAAACGGAATACGTTCATTGCTTTATTTGTTATGCGAATCAAAATAAATTATTTCAATTAATTGATGCTTAAATTTTGACCTTGCATAGGTTTCGTTTTATGAACGAGACTCTGATGGTGTCACTCAGTTGCCGAAACACGTGTTGTCTCTTTCCCACCAGCTTAGCACCGCTTGGGATTGAAAAAACTTTTAAGAAATTGCGTATTCGAGTCACAAACGGCTAAAAAATAGATGACATTTTAATAAGTATCAGGCAAACAGCGGCCCGTTTTCTTTATCTTATCCGAGTGAAAGTTATATCAAAAGTTAGGTTGGCAAAATGGAAATGTCACAATAAATTAGGTTGTTTGTTAGTGCCAAGTCTGATAGAGGGAAATTTCGAATATTTCCAGACCGAATAAATAACGGAAATTATGTCTGGGGATTGGGATTACTCCGCATCCAATCTGGCTTTCGCAAATCGAAAAACACTAAAAATAGTGATTTTTTTTTAATTAACTCATCTCACCTGAACTCGTGGCGGCACAAAACAAACATAGATTAAAAATCCTTCCGGCCATGGTTGAGAAAAATCACTTTTCCACTCTCACATCGTCCACTCAACGTCAATTGCAGTGAGAAAATCCTATTTTCCAATTTGGGATTTTGCGAGTTTTGGGAAAATTTTACATTTTCGGCGGAAAATCGCGAGCGCGGCGGAAGAGCACAAGAGACATGTTAAAGCGCGTAAGGTGTCCTGGAGTAGTGCGGGAATCCTGCAAACTGACACGAACGCCACCCTGCCTCCGACGGAGACCCGACGAAGCACGACAGCACAGGCGCGCCAACCTCGATCCATAACACGAAGAAATTTTCAAGTTCTAATTTGTACGTGCCATTTCATAATTTATACAACGTTTAGACGATTCTGGACATGATGGGTCCGCCGCGGCCGGTTTGGGGGACTCCCGGTCGCGCGGGTGGCAGCACTGCCGATTGCCGGGAGGGGAATTACGCGTGCAAAAGTCGTTATTTTGATTGCGATAGGGATTATCTGGGCAAATAATAGTTGTTGCGGAAATATTTTTTAAATAACAGGTTTATGAGCCTGAACCAGTAGTTTTGTCTATTAAAATGTAAACTGCGGTGGCATTATGAACGCAAAATTGAGGTTACGAATAATAAATGGGGATTTTATTTTGCTGAAATACGACAATTTGAGGTTTTATAGTCACTGGCTCTAATTTTTAACTACTATTATTTTTTTTAATAAACTATTTATTTTTTATAGATTGTTTGCAAATTGTGTTTTATTATCGTATTGATTAGTCATTTTCAGTATTTTACATTTCAAATTAGTTTTTTAATAAATTATTTGAAAACTACTTTTGTTTATTTATTTTCCCGGCGCATCCACCATTTTTGTCAACGTAATTTTTTAATATTTTTAATTTTTGATTTACTTCTATTTTTTTAATTTTGATTTGTTAACAATAGATCTATTTTTTAATATACAGGGTGTTTTGTCTAAACCCCACTTTAAACTTTTATCAGGTTTTCTTATACTTAAATTTAGCCGCTTTTGAAATATTTGGAGTTTTTCAAAAATTTTTGGATCTGCACATTTCACTTCCAATGTAGTCTTAGCAAAAAGTCACTATAACTTGAATATTATCAAATTTACATAAAGGGAATGTTAATACAGATCAATACAGAATTAAACTCTCTTTTATTTAGTAAAATAAAAATTTTGGTTTTTATTTGGAAAAATTGAGTTATGGGTTTTTAAATTATTACAAAAGTAACCTTAAAATTATAGGGTTTATTAATTTTTTTTCAAAATTTGAAAACACTAGAAAAAAGATGTAAGCTTTCTCTTTCAAACGCCAAAAAAACTAATTCAAAATTTCAAAAAATAGCAGAGTTACCGATTTTTATAATGGAAGGCGCAGATCCAAAAATTTTTGAAAAATTCCAAATATTTTATTTTCAAATATTTATTTGCAATCTCACATTTTTACCCACTTTTT